GTTCTTCCTTTCTTACCTTTCTAAGCCACTGATATGAATCTATATGGTATTATTGTGGCGTTATAACGCCTTCTTGGTAGATTCACATAAAATCAACTTTTGGTTCGCATTATTACACATTTATTCGCGTTATGACGTCTTTTGATTCGCGTTATAACACCTTTATTCATGTAATAACGCTTTGATTTGCGTGTTTACGCTTTTTTAGTTCGCATTACTACGTCTTTTTATATTATATTATAGTAATCAATACTGGCAATGTGCTTATTCATTTTGTTTTGTAATGTTTTGTGAAGGTTGTGCTTCCAGAGTCAGCAAAGACTAAATGTGGTAGAGTGTTGTGAGATTTTAACTAGTCCTTTACTAGAAGTATTTTTGTTAGGATGATATATCTGGACAACATTTTTATATTGGTTAAAATGCTTCTGATGCCTTATACACAGTTTTGTATTAAAACAATTGAGTAAACAATAGTCTAGGTCATTGATACAGCTCCGTTGGTTTTAGGTATGATCATACCTCATTCCAAAGTTGGTATTGTCGCGTGCAAGGAAAGGTCACGCAATGGGAAAGGTCGTGCGGAATCAGCTTTCCTAGGCACGCTAGTTCCCAAAAAGGTAGATGTCGCGCAATAAGAAGTCCCACAGACTAAAAGTAAAAGGTCTAAGTTATTTTCAGCCTTTCAGCATCTCAATTGTTGTTAACAAAGCATAATTTAGACATATCAGACTTGATTGAATTCCTATTACTTTATCTATATATATGTTACTTGGTTTAAATGTTGGGCTGTATGTTGTAAAGATGGGGCGATTAGATTTGATAATAAGTTTAAAGAATTTTCCATCACAATCAACAGTTTAAAGAGTTGTCAATTAGAAGAAAGTGTATCAGTCTAATTTGCGATGACAGTTGCATAATTGAACAAATAATTAATTTATTGAGTGTTAATATGTACATTTATGTAAATATTATATGCTTAATGTTTGTATTGTTCAACAGTATGTAGACCTGAACCTGTTGCAGACCAATTTGAACATTGTTTAGGCCATGTAAGCACTTAAAATATGTCCCGCAATGGTTAGATCTCATAATTAATTGTGTGCCATACTGGTTTGCGCAAGTGGGTTGCGCAACAGTGCTTTTTTACATCACCCTATCTGCGCAAACAGAAGGGTATTTAAGCTGAGAAGTTTTTTTCTTAGTTTTAATGAGTTAGTTTTAGATGTTTAAGTTTTTGGAGTTGTGATGTTAGAAAAAAAGTGATGTATATATGTATAATATAATCTTTAACTTAAATATGATATTAACCATTCCAGCATAGAAAACTGGTTTACATTTTAAGTGAATTGTCAGATTCCAATAAACAGGTTCCGAATCGTAAAAAGCGTAAGATTGACTGTAATCACCTGGTATTCTAAATGTTAACAGTTATCATAAAATAAATATATATATTGAAAAAATACCCAGTGGCATTGTGCGCTGCGGACACAGTTACAAGTAATGTACATTGGGAGGTATTCTTTTTTTTCTAGCACTGACCTTTCGACTTTTTTTACTCAGTTGGAAATAGCCCTGAAGGCTATGGCGTTGAACTTGAGAAGATATTTCTATTGCGCGTGATACGTCATGAAATAATATAAGGGAAAAAAATGAAAGGCATTATTGAAGAATTTAATCCATGCCAGAAGAGGCCAAATGATCGGTTAGTAGTGACTTAAAGAACAAAAATCATAAAACAAGAACCATGACTAAAACAAGTGTATCATCAGTCATTATAAACATAAATCAATGTGACAGCATCGTGTGAAATATGTTCAAAACAATATGAATGAAAATGCATTTGCTAAGTTTATGAAATTAAAAAAGCATTTGTTTGTGTTTTAATTTATTGTGTTTATTCCTTTTTAATTTTGTATTTCTGTTTTTTTTTGTATTGCCACGTTTACCTAATCATATTAGAGATATACAAATCTCATTTATAACGTTCTTCATTAATTCGTGTCCACTCTATAACTTTAAAATCGCTGAATTTTAAAATTACTGGTCACAAGTGATCACCATTATAAGACAATGTGCCGAGCGCAATATTTGTTTGCTATCCCCAAAGGTTAAGGTCAAGTATTTAAAAGTCTACAGTTTGTGTCCGTTCCATAACTTTTAATCGTTGAAACAAATTCAATAACTTGGCATCAGTGATCACCATTATGAGATGATGTACAGATAGCAATAATTGAGCTGCTACCCCAAAAGTTCGGTGTCGCACTTAAAGGTAAAGTGTAAAAATCTAAATTTCGTGTCCTCACAATAACATTTAAACCGCTGCATTGTTTGTAAGATAACATTGCAGAAAGGATCGCCATTATGACACTTTGTAGCGAGGACAACAATCTAGTCACTACCCTTATGTTCAGGGTCACACTCAAAGGTTCAATGTTAAATATCTATTTTTCAGGTCGCTCAATAACTTATTGACAATTCAAAGGTTTTAAAATTACTTGGCACAAATGAACTCCATGACAAAATCTGCAGAGAGCAACAACTAGGTTGCTACCCCCAAGAAAAATCCAGTTTGCTACCCCAGGGTCACGATCACACTTAAATTTTACTACTATGAGTTGAGAGGACCTTTTTCTTTTTCAAACGGATATTATTATGTATCAGATATTTTTTTTTGCATATATTTATGTATATTTGAGATAATAGTTTCATTCTGTAATTGAATTACCGCCGTATAATAAAGTATTCAATGTTGCAGTTGTGATTTGACAAAAAAAACTAAGAGGTCAAATGTCAAGATTCAATAATTATGTGTCCACTTCTTCAGAACTACTCTTTTTGAAAAAATCAAATTGTTATAAATGGTCACCATTATCAACTACAGAGGGCAACCAGCCAATAAATAAAGTATCAAATTATCAATACTTACCAGTACCTTGACCTAAAATTTCAAAAATAAGAGGTAATTACAAATGTATCTTTCTGAATATGGATGATAAATGGTCAATAACTAAAATAGAATTTTAAGATGAATAAATGTGCTGATGATACACATGGCACAGCATCAAGGTCATGGGTGGTTAATGGTCTAAAGGTACACATTTATTCCCGCTGCAGACGGGGACTAGGCTGTTCTTCAGACTGCCGAGGTATCTATACATTTAATCCACATGAATAAACACTACAGCGTTCCTAAATAATATATATATAATGTACGTCAAATATGAATTATCTGAATAACAATACATTCTGTTTCTTGCTTTTTCGTCGTATACTTTTTATAGAACGCGTCTAATAAGATTAGTCATAAAATTATCAATACTTTGAAATTAAACCAACAAAAGATTACGTAATGACATTTAAACTATAATTCAAAATGGCCGCTGCACTTGCACAGTACGTACCTCCAAACCGACCTTATACTACTTCCAAGCATAAAGACAATCCTTTAAGAAATGAAAAATATGGCAAACGTAGCTTGTGACAGGATGCCGTTAAAGAAAAGAAAATCAGCTTTGCATTGCCCTTTATATATAATTTATTTCAGCATAGAAATTTCCTTAAAGTTTCATATTTAATTTTCTATTATTGAATTAAAGAACTAATACAATTCAAATTATCAAATAATCCAAATTATCTTTAAGTATTTATGCATATCTCGGCAGGACGATGGCCTAAATATCACACAATGTTTCCTAACAAAAATGAATACAGATATAACGAATGTCAAAAACATGTTCTGTACAAGAACAAACAAAGTTCGACTTAAAAAGAAAAAAGAAAAGCTTTCAAAGCTTACTTACCGTTTCCCATTATTACTAAACCTGAGCGAATCGTGATAGTCAAGCCAGCTTTACCTGTTTAGTCATGCTTTATTGTAGGATAACTTGTAATATAACTGGAGATAAACTGACTGTGAAATCACTGTTTGATATGTGTGAAGAGAACTAGAATAAACCGAGGTGCATACATACGTGTAAACTTATGATAAATTTCGACTTGCATATCCCAAAACATCATGTATCTGATTGACGTGCACACACGCTTCCACACACACACACGCATACACAGACGTACACACGCACGCACGCAACCACTCTCACGCGTGCACCAACACACACACACTCACACGGGCACGCATGCTCGCGCACACGCAAGCACGTACATTTTGTTGGGATTTAAAAGGTATAATAAGCACATTCTTTTATCCATTTCTTTTTACAGTTTCTATGTACAACGAATATGCAACGAATCATTGCTTAATGCATACATGTAATATCACGATAAATATATTCAGAGGTGGAAAAATGAATGAACAGTTTAGAAATATCATCACTATAAAAGGAGATATAGACAGACAACAATAGTATAGACGTTTAAGTCAAACCAAGTCTATGCTCGAAGCACAATCAAGAACTCGACATTAATGCTATGCTTTTTATGCTATAACTTTATAATTGTTTCCATGAGGAAAGAGAAAAACAGTATTTATGATCGCATTGCGAAGTCGTTGGAAATTTCCCACTTCGATTTTAACATAAATGGCATCATGAATGAGAGTTTTTTCATTCTTTATTCTTAAATATAGAGTTCTTTTCGAATGTTTTCTTGAAGCGCGAAAACATGGCCGATTTTAAGTCATCATAAAGATATATTTTATTTTAATTATTTGAAGCAGTGGAATTTCTATCTCAAAATAATACTATTAGAACAAACCGAAACAGTTATTATTTATGTTAATCTATCGAAACATCAAAATTGAAACGCAAACTTTAATGATATGACAAAGCTATATCATTCAAACTATGAGTGATATACGGTAAATGCTATGAATTATATTTCACGAAAAAATCGCGGGTAAGCATATTCTAAAGAATTATACCTAAATAATAAATCTTTGAAGCTTCAGTATGTTACTTTGTTAATAACTAACAAAGTAATTTAAGAAACCTTTTGTGGTGTTTTAGACTGAAATGATTGTTGCATATTACATACAGTTGAAATTTCTTACCAGTGACACATGACAACTTATATATGATCATAAACGGTTATTTAACTTTACATGGAGTTTGAATACTTAAGGCTGAAAAAACTGGAACAGTAAGTGAGATTATTTTAGTTTATTTAAACGTTGTAACTTAAACATTTATTCACTTTTGCTAACAATTATAATTATGCGTCCAAAATGATATCATAAAGTATTGCATCCATTTGTTTCATTGTTTAGATTTTAATTAGTTCAGTCCATGTGTCCATAAAACGACAAAAGCCGTTTTATTACACGCACTTTTGAAAAATGGTTCGCGTTACTACTCGTGTGCATACTGTGAATTTGTATTGATATGTATTATATAACTTTGATGTGTAAATTGGTTTTGATTGTATAAGTATATTTTAAAAATATTTTGCACGGAAAAGATTTTAGTTTATTTTTACATTGGAATACATGCATCTGCCTGGAAATACAGAAAAATGTTATTGATAATATTTGACCAGGAGTGTATGTATTTATAATGATGTGGCATAAAATGGCATAAAATTGCAATGGCATGCTATGTTTTTTTCTGTTGGGTTGCTCCATCATTCAAAATTTTCATATGCTCCCGTACATTTCAAGGCCATTGACTTTACTAACAATTAGGCTTAAATATCGTCAATTACAACTTATTATGGATTCTTGTTTGAGTGTGCTTTGCCCGGTAATTTAGCCTGACAATAATTAAACACTTCTCAAAACAATGTCTCTAGTTCGGTAACACAAAGGTGACATATGTGTGTTTTTATTTATCTCGTGCACACGAGATACTATGTCGTGGCCACGAGCTACTTAATCGTGACCACGAGGTTATAAAGTCGTGGGCACGAAATACTATGTCGGGGGAACGAGATAATATGTCGTGGCCACGAGTTACAAAGTCGTGGCCACGAGATAATTAAGTCTGGGCCACGAGATACTATGTCGTGGCTACGAGTTATTATGTCGTGGCCACGAGTTACTAAGTCATGCGCACTAGATAATTAACAAATTAGATTACAATATATATATATATATATATATATACCAGAAAGTCATCTTCCAAGGTCTATAATTCAGAATTTAATTTTGACTTAATTATAGCCCTTTGTGGTGACAATTCTAATTCTGTAATAGAATTGGCAGTTTGTACGTACAAAGGCCTGTTAACTTTGTTTATACGATAACTTGAGAAGGAATAAGTCCTGGTTTATTTCATTTGGAAGAGACATTGTCCATGGACAGTAGATAGCCTATCGGGATGTAAATGACACCTAAAAATTTTAAGGTCAATGGGTCAAAAATCAGAGTCACAATGACACTTAAAGTAAAGTCATTGATCAATCAATTACGTGTATAAATGGCGTTTTTACAGGCATGTGAATCAGGGGTATCCTTGTACTATAGCACATGTTTAGTAATTTAGGAAAAGTCATATAGTATCTCGTTCCCACGACTTTATTATCTCGTGGCCACGACAAAGTTCCTCGTGGCCACGACATAGTATCTGGAAGAGACATTGTCCATGGACAGTAGATAGCCTATCGGGATGTAAATGACACCTAAAAATTTTAAGGTCAATGGGTCAAAAATCAGAGTCACAATGACACTTAAAGTAAAGTCATTGATCAATCAATTACGTGTATAAATGGCGTTTTTACAGGCATGTGAATCAGGGGTATCCTTGTACTATAGCACATGTTTAGTAATTTAGGAAAAGTCATATAGTATCTCGTTCCCACGACTTTATTATCTCGTGGCCACGACAAAGTTCCTCGTGGCCACGACATAGTATCTTGTTTCCACGACTTAACTATCTCGTGCCCACGACTTAGTAAATCGTGGCCACGACATAGTATCTCGTCCTCACGAAATTAAAAACACACACATGTCACCTTTGTGCCACCGTAGTCTAGATCTATTTTAAACTATTCTATTTTTAATCAAGCATTTATTATAATTCAAACTGTACATAGCGTCCACTTTAAATATAATTTAACTACGGAATACCGTTAGGGCCATCGTGGTTATACGTTAAAATACAGAGGGCGACAATGCGTTTGTGCGACAGTGCGATGACGACAATACGACAGTGCGATGACGACAATGCGACAGTGCGATGACGACAATGCGACAGTGCGATGGCGACAATGCGATAACGAGATAGTACGATGACGACAGAGCGATAGTGTTATCGCACTGTCGCCATCGCACTGTCGCATTGTCGCCATCGCACTGTAGCACTGTCGTCATCGCGTTATTGCTTTGTCGACTATCGCCTTCTGGTGGACGGTTCTAAACTGCTGGCGAATAAGCTGACGGTATAGAATATGGATAATTTTACTTTTGTCAATAAATTTTTTCTTCTTGTTTTTTTCTTTTCCTATTTATTTTTTTTTGTTTGTTTCTTTTCTGTATACTAATAATGTTTAAATAAAATTATGAATTAATAATAAGAATCCTTTTATATATAAATACTGAAAGAGTTATACATAGACGGAAAATGTAATAAATTGTGTGAAACTTTAATATACAATTTAATAGAAATATTTCAGATGAACATGATCTTATGTTGACATTTAAAAGATGCAAAAAAAATATTAAAATGATTGTTTATTATTTGTATAAAAAAGACAAACAAATTATATTCATAGATCGTCATCAGTGGTTTTAATGTTTTGTAAGATGTATGAATTATGAATTATCGTGGTTATACGTTAAAATACAGAGGGCGACAATGCGTTTGTGCGACAGTGCGATGACGACAATACGACAGTGCGATGACGACAATGCGACAGTGCGATGACGACAATGCGACAGTGCGATGGCGACAATGCGATAACGAGATAGTACGATGAAAAAGACTATTATATTATATTATATTACTTACATTGTAAATAAAGATACATGTAATTAGAAATTTACGTCAACACATATTTTTTTCTATATATCTAACATAAGTGGTCAACAATTTTCACTATAAGATTAACTTAACAGCAGATCCTACTATAACTTTAACTGATCAGTATATTGTACTATAGCCAACTGATTCCGCTGGTGGACATAGTGAGACAATGTGTTTCAATGTTGAAAAACACATCTATCCATTATATTTAATCCGGAAAAATTCTTACTGTTTATTTATTTATTTTTTTTGGTGTTGTTGTTTTTTTTGTTTTTTTGGGTTTTTTTTTTAGGGAAACATGCAAAATTCGAATTACCAACTACCTGCCGGTAGGTAGTGGCGAATTAAGAATACATTTTGTAATCAACTACCAGCTATTAGGTAGTAGGTTATTTGAATATCCAACTACCAACTACCTATCAAATTGACGCTTCTTTAGATTTTTTATCAATATCTAAGATCGAGCCATTTTTGGTGCTTGGTGAACATAGCGCTTATATATTTCTTAAAGATAGTAAATAAATATGATTAAATAAAAAAAAAGAAATATAAAATATATACTAGATTTCTGTGTCCACTTGTTTTATATATAGCCAAAGTGATTTTAGCTTGAGAAACTGCTTATGAACAGAGGACAATGATATTTGCAGTGAAGTTTTAATTTATTTTGAAATGTTAGCAAAAATTGGTTTATGGTTTATGCCATATTTTCTTCTTATACTATATGGTCAGCAGACTTAACGTACGGTGCTTTAGGTACACATGTATATTAGAATCTGCTGACCAGTTAACCCATTCCCGCATAAGCATTTTGTGAAAAATGGCTGTTTTCATTGAAAACCCCCCTGTTACACAAGTTCAAATTGCTATGAAAGTATAATGTCGGTGGTTCTACGCAAGTACCCGTTTGTGCCTAAAATAATGCACGGAAGGGCACCTGAGGTCTTCCTCCACCAGTAAAGCTGGAACGTCGCCATATGACTTATACTGTGTCGGTGCGACGTAAAACCCAATCAATCAATCAACTATGAAACTAGAAAAAAATGCTTTAATACTGATCAAACTTGCACAAATGTTTACTGAGCCATAGCATTTGTATCTTAATTTCCTGTTACCATGACAATGAGGGGACATTTCAAAATCACTATGTTGTGTTAATTTTTCCATCAAAGCTGCAAATTCCCGATGGGTCGGGATAGAGTGAAGGGATTTCAGCGTTGGTTACACGTTACCTTAAGATCGACCTGATGCCATTTTGAGCCTCTCACAAGTCCAAATTTTTCTTAGAGTTGAGTGGGGCGGCAGTCACCATTCAAATCCCCGTGCAGAAGAGGGTACCCCCTCTATTGCACCCCGATGTATCTGATAAATAGCATTTGTAAGACATTACATACATTAAATAAAGTATTACCTCATTCAAAGTGCAATCCTCCAATAAAGTTTGAATATTGTGGGCCAAATGGAACTTAAGTTATACTCTAGAAACTGTTTTCAGTTTTGAGGTAATAGCGACCTTGAACTTTGACCTTGTGACCCCAAAATCAATAGGTGTCTTCTATCCAATATGGACAATAATCCTAAGTTTGAACACTATGGGCCAAATAGAAATTAGGTTGTGTTCTGGAAACTGTTTTCAGTTTTAAAGTAATAGTGACCTTGACCTATGATCTTGTGACCCCAAAATCAATAGGAGTCTTCTACCCAATATGGACAATCATCCTAAGTTTTACACAATTTATTACATTTTCCGTCTATGTATAACTCTTTCAGTATTTATATATAAAAGGATTCGTCTTATTAATTTATGATTTCATTTAAACATTATTAGTATACAGAAAAGAAACAAACAAAAAAGTAATAAAAAGGAAAAGAAAAAACAAGAAGAAAAATATATTGACAAAAGTAAAATTATCCCATATTCTATATCGTCAGCTTATTCGCCAGCAGTTTAGAACCGTCCACCAGAAGGCGATAGTCGACAATGCGATAACGCGATGACGACAGTGCGATGGCGACAGTGCGATAATGCGATGACGGCAGTACGACAATGCGATAGTGCGATGACGACAATGCGACAGTGCGATGGCGACAATGCGACAGTGCGATGGCGACAGTGCGATAACACTATCGCTCTGTCGTAATCGTACTATCTCGTTATCGCATTGTCGCCATCGCACTGTCGTATTGTCGTCTGTGATCTGCGGGCGAAGGATGCAATATATCTATATGGACATATTTATAGTGTAAAACGATAAGTTAGGCCCAAACTATGTATAATTATATGAATTTAAAGTGTATGGGCATACGTTTTTTTTAGCTCAATCTTGTACCCGTGATTATATATAGAAATGATTTTCATACACATTTTTTGGGCACGGATGCCTGTCATTTGCGGAGGGGTTAGTGAAATAGACACATTGGAAAAAGTCAAAGCAATGTCAAACATATATTGAAACTGTTCCAAGCTTTAATTTTTCTTGCCAGATTTGCATGAATATACAATATTTTTGTGCGATTTCTAATGTATGTTTAATTTTGTGTGTGTGTGTTTTTTCATGTTTTCACGAGTACTTTTAAGCGCCCGAACATTGCTGAAAAAAGAAGAGTAATATATTGTTTATAACATCGTAAGTGATCATTAAATATATGGTTGTTTATTAATTTCTATACCTTAGCGACGGTAGGGTGAGAAAATGGAACAGTGTTACAAGAAAATCGGCAGCGCAAAGTAACCCGTCTTGACAAAATGGTGGTAGTGATCCCTTTTATTTTGTCTAGATGTGTCTAATCAAATAGATACATCTAGGGGGGGGGGTGGAGGGTGTGCCCCCTTCTGTTTGGGGGTTTGACGACCCCCTCATCTCCAAGAAAATTTTAGACTTTAAGAGGCTAAAATTGGCCTCAGGTCGACCTTAAAGTACGCGTAACCAACACTGAAAAGCCTTTGACTCTATCTCAATCCATTAAGAAGTTGCTGCACTTTGAAATCAGTTGTGAAAGAAAAATCTACGATAAATAATTTAACAAATGTTTTAACATTGGACCTTTGAGTTTTACCTTGACCTTAATAAATAAAAAACGAAATTTTCAGATTTGTTAGGACAGACTTTGACAACATGTTGAATTGACAAAATTAATGGTTGAATTGACAAAAAAAAAATGGAACTTTTACTTATTTTCTTTACAACATTATAATAAGCTCAATGAAACTATGTATTGTTGAATCAGCAATTTGCCAGGTGACTATCAAAATCAGTTCCTGATTTAAGAGTATTCTTCACATATCAAATGGTCATCATTTCCTTTCGTTCTGTCACTATTTTAAATGCGTAATTATTATTTGGCCATTATAATTTGTATTCGATTAACACATCGAACATGGCAATCTCGAGCAGCAAATGAAATATTTTACCAAAGCAAATATTTTTGAAGCAAAGAAGACGTCCGTTTAAGCTTTCTGAAAACACATTACTGATCAATTAACAAATATGACTTCGACAATTGGTTAAATCAATTTGTGCGAATAGTAAAGAAAATTTATCAATTCAATATTTACGATTTCAAGTAACTGTTTATTATATGCATTGCAGGTAAAATGGGCACTAGATTAAGTAATCCTTGTGAAAAGGTAAATGTTTGTTAATAAATATTTTTGTAAGTATGATAGATTTCATCACGCTTGGATTTAGAGAAAAGCAATCAATACATGTACACATAATAAAAAGCGAAGTGCCCTTTACATTGAGAACAAACGATGAGCTTGTTTATTTAATTAGTTTTTAAGAAAGGAACAATTATGAAATAGATACATTTTGATTATACTTATTTTTGAAAAACGGGTGATTACGTTTTAAGGCACACAAACCCTGTCGCAGAAAACTAGGTCACCACCGAGAGTGGTTTATAGCCTTATATATGGGAAACATTCCCTTATTTTAAATTTAATTCACCAACTTTAGTTTTTGCATATTATTATGTTCATTATCAGTATTATGACGTTCTGTCAACGTCTTTACATTACTTTTCCCTCCGTCCTTTGACGTGGCCTGGGAAATTTGTGGGTACGGCAACCCCCACATCGGCCATCAAATGTAACGTTTTAAGATACATAAACCCTGTCGGTGTGAGACTCGCTCACCACCGAGAGTTGTTTATGCCCATATATAAGGGATAATTTCCTATATGTTAATTCACCATGTTTTATTAGTTTTTACATATTATAATGCTGATTTTGAGTAATTACACATTCTACCAAACGTCGTTTCATATTTGAAAAAAATGATATATTCATTGTTACAAAAAATATATGTTTCAGTAGATTTTTACAACTATACGATCGCATATTTCATTTAACAGACTACCCTATACTGGTTAGATAAAATAGACGATAACTTCTCCACTGACATCCATAAAACACTAACCGAAAAAATTCAAAAAACGTTTCAACAATATACAATTAAAAGAATCGACAACATTGCTTTAGTCACAGAGAAACAAGCAAGCATCATAATCATATGCAGGATAACGACATGTCGCCTGGAACATATGCTCGATTCTTACTTAGAAAATGTTGAAGGTATGTACTTTCTTTTTTATAGACCTTTTTACGACCCAGTCCATTGCTATGAACAAATCGACCGGAAGTAGTATTTTATCGCTCATGCGCTATCTGCATAGGTAAGAAGGGCATCGCCCTGCATTGAAATGTAATAGAAAATCATAGACAATTCTAAGTAAGTTTAATGTAAGAATAGAAAAATATAAAAAAATAGCATTTAACAAAAAAGCAAAAGATGCCTTTATAGATTTGTGGCCGAGATTTAAAGTCAGGGAAAAGATGATCTTTAAGAATACTTCCTTGCGATCAAGCCCCTTAGATGTAAGAAAGTATTAAACGTATCTATTTACAAGAATTCAAGAGTTCAACTTAGTTGTTGTTGAAAGTTCATATAATAACATATGAATTCGAGGTTAATTATCATTCTGAAAAAGAACGGAGCACGTGATATTGGGTTTTTAGTATTCAGCTTACCTGATTTTATCCTTTATCTGATTTGAACGTGCTACCAAACAGAACATTTTCTAGATAAGTAGTTTACTAGTGAAATAACAAAATTTTTATCCGGTTTCTCGAAACACACCGTTTACTTGCACGTCACACTATTTGTCACTTCACGCAGTTGATAAACATTGATGAGACTGGTATATGCAAAAGTTCCATAAATGTACAGCGGTAATAAAATTTTATTTTTAACACACTGCTGTTTCAATTCAAATAACTGATGCATAAATCTTCTAATGATATCTAAACATAGTTAGTATGCGCTTTTTGATCGTGGATTATTAGTCCTGCATAGCTTTGCATATCTGTTGTAGATATTAAAAATATATAAATTTACGTTTTACCATATTAATTCATCCCACAACTACTGTTTCCATGGTGACATATCTTCAAATCACGTCTATTAAAGCCTTTAAGTATGAGAATAGAAAGAGAATATTGCCCACAAATTTAGTATTCACGACCACTTATTTAGAAGTTCAGTGCTTTAGAAATGCAATCAGCAAATTAGTGTTGTACACTTTTATCATTTCTTTATACAAAACCTATTCTATACTTATGATTTATGAGTTCACCAAATTGTTTACGAAATTGTAGAGTAGGGATAATATGTAGTCTTTCACTATTGATTTTTGGCTTACACAGAATGCGCATGCGCAAAATGCAACATCCGTTACTTTGGAAATGTCATTGTCAAAAAAGTCTATTTAAATAATCAATTTTGTCGTGCATTATAAAGAAATATTTGCTGTGTATTGAATAATGGTAAAACATTTATAAAAATAAGAATGACACAATCATTTTAAACACGAACAACTTCGAAGATTTTTATTTTATTCTTACTTTTGTGTATATCTTTGCAAGACGAAGCATATTTTGAATATACCTTTTCGCTCTACAATAGTTCAATAGAAACGGAAATAAAATTTTGCGCATGCGTGCGCAAGGCAAAAAGCAATAACGAAAAAAAAAAGAAGATTTTATCTAATATGGTAAACAAGATCAACAAGGAAAGGCGGCGTTAAATGAACGCAACCCCCATATGACCCAGCAACAACAACCAGCGGCAAGGAGCCCAGGCGGACCCCAAACCAAAACAGGACAGGGCAAAGACAGAGCACGGACAGTTTAATCATTGAATGATAAATAATTTGTAACTGATTAGGAATTTAAAGAAAAGAATAATATGCCCACAAAGGGGAAGGGGACAGGAGACCGGGGGAAGGGGGGGGGGTAATCAAAGAAATAAAAACTAGAGGCAATGGGGAACCATCTTTAGTGTCTTGAAATGTGTCGTTTGATATATTTTCCTTTATAGTACTCGCTAACCGTGTACGAATTTTTGCGAGTGTCATTATTAAAGACCTAAACTCCTAAATTAAATTAGATGTGTATTGATTCTAATATTCTCTTTCTATGTTAAACGTCATGTCAAGTTATGTCACCCGGAAATTATGACTTACAGAGGTAAATACGTAAAATCGTGATTTGTATGTTTAAAGATTTTATGCTTCACTGACTAATTCCAAAAGCGCATACGAAATTCCTCTGCCTGTGCTATGATAAACTGGATAAAAAAGTGTTATTTCAATACCGATCATGGAAATTTTCTTAACTTTTCAAGATTTTGTAAAAGAACTTTGTATATGTAACGTTTGGCATCCAATTCCAATCGGAAAAACAATAAGTTCCGAGGGATCACTTGGTTCCAAATTTTTATACTTCACAACAACAGGTGTTAAGTGCTGTGTGGCAGCTGTAAAAAGTTGCCCCGTACTTCACTTCACTGTTGTTATATTTTGTCTGGTCCTTCGGGATCATTGATGCCAGCACTATTAAGTGTTGAGAATTAAGTACCGCTCAAGCCGGTGCTAGGGGGCGTGAGGGATGTTGCACGTATTCATTATCCCTCATGTACAGACTCAATCAAACCGAGTCTGCAATTCTCTTGTAATTTTGTTGTGATTAATGCTTCCGAGGGATCACTTTGTTTCCAGATTTTTATACTTCACAACAGCAGGTGTCAAGTGCCGTGTGGCAGCTGTAACTAGAAATGGGTCCATAGGACACGGATGCCCCAACACGCCACTGTTGTCAATCTTATGACTCTAGATCAAATATTTTTAGACTACATGTGCCACAAGTTGAAAACTAAAAATCAACAAAGGGCCATAATTCTGTTAAATTTGGTCGCAGCAAAAAATCCTTCTCCGCATTAAGGTTGTTCACCCCTGGAAGTTTAAGCAAAATCTTGGCATCCATGTCCAATCGGAAAAAGAATAAGTTCCGAGGGATCACTTTGTTTCCAGAATTTTATACTTCACAACAGCAGGTGCCAAGTACCGTGTGGCAGCTGTAAAAAGTTGCCCCGTACTTCACTTCAGTGTTGTTATATTTTTCTGGTCCTTCCGGTTTAAGAGGAGTTGCGTTCACAACATTTCTACATAGTATATAGTGAAAAAAATCAACAAAGGGCCATAATTCTGTTAAATTTGGTCGCAGCAAAAATTCCTTCCTTTACTACCATCTACACATTAAGGTTGTTCATCCCTGGAAGTTTAAGTAAAATCTGCCATCCGGTTTAAGAGGAGTTGCGTTCACAAAATTTCTACATAGAATATAGTGAAAAAATCAACAAAGGACCATAATTCTTTTAATTTTTGTCTCAGCAAAAATTCCTTCATTTACTACCATCCACACATTAAGGTTGTTCATCCCTGGAAGTTTAAGCAAAATCTGCCATCCGGTTTAAGAGGAGTTGCGTTCACAAAATTGCTACATAGTATATAGTGAAAAAATCAACTAAGGGCCATGATTCTGTTAAATTTGGTCGCAGCGAAAATTTCTTCCTTTACTACCATCTACACATTAAGGCTATCCGGTTTAAGAGCAGTTGCGTTCACAAGATTTTGGGACGTACGGACAGACGTACGGACGGACGTACGGACAGACGGACAAGTGCAACGCTATATGCTCCCACTTTGAGGGGGCATAAAAAGTTGCCCCGTACTTCACTTCAGTGTTGTTATATTTTTCTGATCCTTCGGGATCATTGATGCCAACACTATTAAGTGTTGGGAATTGAGTACCACTCAAGCCGGTGCTAGGGGGCGTGAGGGATGTTGCACTTATTCATTAACCCTCATGTACAGACTCAATCAAACCGAGTCTGCAATTCTCTTGTAATTTTGTTGTGAAAATTGCGTCCGAGGGATCACTTTGTTTCCAGATTTTTAGACTAACTTAATACTAAATACATGCATTATTACATGGTCTGGCCTTTTTCCAGAATGGTTATTAACTTTGATGTTATATAATCTTTTTAGCTTTTATATGCTATTTCAAAAAGAATAAAATAGACCATTTTTGTTTATAGTAAATATATTTGCACATTTTTGCAACAATTATATGTCCGACTTGGCCGCAAAAAGAATTTTAAACAAATATTTTCCTTATCTTTTTATTGCAATTTCTTTTTATCTTTTTAAAATATCTTTTTATTTATGGCCACAAAGCTACAAATGCATCTTTTTTATCGTTCTAAATGCTATGTAATATAATCGTTTACTTTTTATCCTCAACTCACTTAAAACTGTCTATGAACTTCTACTACACAGGGCAATGATTTGTAGCCATACGCAGATTGCACATTCGCTAGAAATAACTATATTTTTTCATAGCAACAGACCGTGTATAATGAGTATTCGCCAAGCGAAATTCTTATAATTGTTATGGTTACGAAACGTAAAATATAAGTCAATCGCAGAAAGAAGTAGATGTATATGAAAAGAACACATAAAGGAAATACCAAAGCTTAAGTACTTCATGCCTTAAAGAAGGCTGGATAGCAAGCAAATCACCTACAGGAGTCCGACGAAGCATTCTGAAGAAGAAAATTCAAACATTTCATTCTCTTTTGTTAGCATTTAGGTTCCCGTTTGGTCCGAAGAATGTTATTCAAAAAATCCGTGTTGTTAAACTGCAAATAGGCTGGTCACTTAAACACGACTTTTTACCATGCGAAACACAAAAACAAATATTGTTTACGAATACGTCAGTCTTTCACATTTGAGAAATGTACCATTTGAAAAGATTTTTTACTGATACAGTTAAATTCAAGAAATGTTTAAATAAAAAAATAAGATAAGATTCGTTTATCAAGAAGCAACGTTATTCTAGCCAACATAATTATAAACCATGCAAAGTGTCAATAGTAATTTTTATGAAGAATTTTGTCAAATCTAAATTTTAAGTAACAACCGATACGATATATTCTTCCCCTTTATGTACGATGGTTGGTCTTTGATATTATACCGACATTATTTATAAATTTGACCGATTTAAAGCTTCTGTTCTGTTTTGTTTGTTATATAGGAGTGAACATGAACATGTAGATTGAGTGTGAGCTAAGTCAATAAGAGAAAATAAACTTTTGAAGCACCGCTATTTAGTAGGCTGAGCATATTAAAATATCAGCACTTAAAATCTTTATCATCTACACATACGCGCTATTT